AACATGCTATGACAGCCATTGTGTAATTGAATATATTTTAACAAAAAGTTAATTTAAAAACCACATACATTTTTATGTGCAATTTACATGTTTGCATACAATTTTTTTTTAAGTTGAGTGTTGATCATCTATTTAAAAATAAATAGCAATTAAATTTAAGTTTGGGTTAAGTTGTTAGGCCTAATTGTAACCTTATAATGTAAAAGGGCTCCCTATAGTTTTAAGCATAAGCTGAGGTAGATTTTTATCACTAAGAAAATTTTAACTATAACTGAATGTATTTAAAGAAAGAGCAACTTGTTCAGTAAACCATTTAAAAAAAATAAAAAAAAAGTTAGTTTTCCCCCCTGCTGTACCGAAATCATACCGAACTGTGACGTTAAAACCGAGGTACGTACCGAACTGTCATATTTGTGTACCGTTACACCCCTAGGATATATTAAAAAAATATTTTAGTTGTAATCCAATAGCATCTTGTTAAATACCTGTTGTATTAATCATTTCTCAACTTTGTCAGTTGCATCTGAATTCTTCTGACACTCCAGTAATCCTGTATCCTCATTGAACAGAAAGTCCACTGTGAGTATGTCTGTCCTCTTGACAGATCTGCTGCTGTCTGGGACCGTTTTCTCTGGGTCAAACGTGCGATGAAGCACCACTAGAACAGCCAGCTTAGTTTCTGTTCAGGAAATAGACAAATTTGTCTAATGTCCTCACCATTAAAATATCATGTACTCCAGAATAATAAAAATATTTATTACTTAAAACTAAAATGTTTGTGAGAATTAGCTGCTTTTCCAGTCAAAATGGAGAAAACGTTTACCCCCTCTGGGAAATAAATTGTGATGCAATAACTACAAATATGATTTTACAAAAATGACTATGATAATCAAAATATCAGAATTATTTCCTGTTTCTTTTTCAATTCTTTTAAAAAAAAGAAAAAACATAATTTAAAACAAACATTACTCTGGACAAATGTTTTTCCGGGTGTTATACTTACTGTTAGATATTTTGCTCCTTGTACTCTCCTAAATGAACCAATTCATATCATTAATATTACTAACAACATGCGGCAAGAAGTAACTTTTACCAGTTAAACAGAAACACCTATTATCAGTCCCATACAGCTACATAGAGTTACTGTAGAAAAAACAATCTCAAAAATGTCTTTAGTGAGTATTTCATGAATAAGCAGCGTACCTCTCTGATATTGGTTGTGTGTGTAGTAACTCTGATGACATCACTGTGAACGGTGTAGTTCAGCTTCCCCACGGCTGCGTATTTCATCTCATACTCCATGTCTGGACTGAGATCTGTCAGAGTAACTGTGTCATGGCTCTGTAGCACAGACTGAGATTTCCAGTCTTTCTCTTCCTTTATTTTGTACAGTAACCTGAGCTCTTTGGTCGCAGAACATGCTGGAGACACCTTCAAAACCACACTGTGACCACTGATCTGTTCAATGACTGGACAGGGTGGTTCTGATGGAGGAGTGAAACAGGTGGCCTCATCAGATCCATTCTCATAGAGAAGAATGCAAGACCCTGGGTTGTTTTTCATTTCTTTTGATGCAACAATAAATTTGGCTTGTTCACATGTTTTTGATTCAGTCAAGTTTTTAAAGATAGTCAAGTTGCTCCTCATAGTCATTTTGATGTCAGAAGTGAATCCAATGTTTTGTTTGGAATCAGACTCATCCTTGTTTCCTTTTGTTGAGAGACTCAGGAAGGCCTTTTGTTTAGAAAGGAGCACATCTGGCCACTCAAATGATGTGAAAGTGTAGCTAACCATATTTTTAACTTTCAGATCCATTAAAATTGTATCTAGATTCTCTTCCACCGTGGCTCCAAAATCGATCAGCTGGTTGAGAAGTGTTTTTATTATGACAGATTCCTTCTCTTTCTCTTTCACCCATTGCTCAAGATCACTTCCTCTGAATGGACTTTCTTCATGATCACGCAGAAGCTCAATCAGCGCTGTTTCCTTTTCTATATCCCCACGGATTTTTGGCAACAGAGAGCCAACTTTGTTCATGAAACTTAATTTATAGTTAGAGCAGTTTTGCTTCATGTGCGTTATTTGATCACAAAATCCTGCAAAAGTCGAAGATGGTTTGTCCTTCAGAAGATCACTGCATTTCATTTCAGTTGTACTTAAGGTCTCAAATACTGATTCAACATGTTTGATTAGATCTAGGCTGATGTCTTTTTGAAGTTTTGCAGTATGTGAAAGTAGTTTGTCCAAGGGATAAAGCCACACTCTCAATGGAACTGCAAGTTCCTTTTTCTCTCCCAGCAGTTTTGGAAGGTCAGCAAAAAGGTTCAGAGCATCTTCAAAAGAGGCTGGATTAGATTGTAACTGGAAGTCACCATAAAATTTGCAACTGAATTTTTGAACCGCAGTCTTCTGCTTGTCATTCAAGTTCAGATCAATCTGTGCGCCCACTGAAATGCCCTTTAGTTTATCAAAGGCAGCTTTTAATTCTCCTTCTACTGTGCTTTTGTCTTCATCTGATGCAACTTCTCTATCGAAAACAAAGCAAGCATCTGCCCCATACAGCACAGCTGTCACCACATGTGTGGCTGAATCATTATCAAACACTTCATGGTGAGCTATATTTCCAGAAGCCAGGTGGTTCATGGTCAGTTCTTCAAACTTGGTGGTTGAATGATAATGCAGGGTCAGTCTCTGCTGTTTGAATGACTTCTTGGTGTCACTGAGATACTTGGCTGCTCCACTTACATTGATGAGTCCACTTAAAAGGTTTAATTTAAGACAGCCATCAATGTTCAGTAAGTGAGATTTTTCCTCAATGGAGTCTGAAGCTGTAACATTGAAGACTGTATTAATTTGAGGACGATCCCGTATACTCTGCTGCAGCTGCTCTTTATCCCATAGGGTGATTCCTAAAGATATATTAAAATTGAAAAATATAGGGTTAACCAATAATAATGCATCCATGGACATTTTCCCCCTTCATCTTCCTTAATGATGATGTATGCTATTTTCTGAGTTGTTTGTTTTCTTGTTTATCTCTTTTTTAACTCCTGATATGGTACCTGGTATTAGCGCATCTTTTCTGCAGTCATACAGCATCCCTAGCTGGAAGGGTCTCCCCAGAGCTGCAGTTTCAATAACATTCACTCCCACTGAATCCATATTAACTGGAGAAACAGTAGACCAGTATTACTGTTATTTGTCCTGTAAAACAAAAAAAGTCAATTAGTGTTTGATAATGGTAACACTTACAGGGCAAAACTGTCTCATGCCTGGTCTGGGCTGTGTTGTCACTTGTCTTACTCTATGTTTTTTGATAATGCAATTATGCCATACAAATCTAAGCAACTGTATTTCTGTGATGCATTGAACATTGTTGCCACAATTCATCACGAAAGCAATGTTGTCTACCTGTCTCGCATACATAAACACCAACCTGAGGGACGAACGGTATAGAACAAAATAGCGTCAGTTCAATATTCATGCACAGTGTACATTTGTTTTTATATCTGGAAAAGGCTTTTAAGATTCTGTTATTAGAGCTGTGCTCAGCAAAACTTTGTAGATGTTTTATTATTCACATTTAAGTTTACAACCTGATCGTAGACAGTCGCTAGGGGCGATTCTTGATTCTAGGTACAAGCACCATCAAAAGTGTCCACATATTTGCTGTATATATATATGTGTGTGTGTACTTATTTATGATACATTGTGGGGACCAAATGTCCCCACAAGGATAGTAAAACCTGAAATTTTTGACATTGTGGGGACTATATAAAAAATAGTAAATGATGTTTATCTGAAAGTGTAACAATTAGTGCTGTAAAACGATTAATCGCAATTAATCACATCCAAAATAAAAGTTTTTGTTTACAAAATATTTGTGTGTACTGTGTATATTACACACACATGCATGTATATATTTAAGAAAATATGTTACGTTTATATATTAAATATATTTATAAATTATATAAATTATATGAATATAAATATATACATGTAAATATTTTCAAAATGTATCCTGTATGTGTGTGTATTTATATATACAAAGCAATTATTTAATTAAAAGGAACCACAATAAATGGCATCTACTCCAGTAAAATTTACTATATATATATACACTTTAGTTTATGACTGACTATATTAAAATAATGTAATTAAAACCTCAGTATATAATTCTGCAATAGTACACTGTTCTCTACAGCCTTGTAATTCACTGTATTTTTCAAAAAAATCATTTCCAATTCAGTGCAAATACAGTATAGCCTAAGTGTTGCTTCACAGTGAAGATTTATTAGAACAGTTAATAACAGTATTCTTTACAACAACACAATGTAATGTTTAACAGTATCAGAATCTATTTTTTTATCTATATGTTCATAAATATCCAAACCTTGAAATGAAAAAAATAAAAATAATCAAATAAAAAAAACGTTGTTTTGCACGGCCGCTAGCATCTTGCACTGCTCCTAGGGTGACCATACTGTATTTTAGTTTTCCAAAAAGAGGACAGTGATGATCATAATGATCATAAACAAAGCTAAAAGGCTTCCTGCAGTGGCCATCCTTCACATAACTTAACATCTAGTGCAGTTTTATCATAGGTAGTAGAATGAAAAATGTTTCAATACAAGCATTTCAGTCAAATGTAATTTATGCATTATTTCAAACCTTTAAATCACGGGGGGAAATCAACCCATGGCATCAGTTTAAAAGTAGCCCAATTCCATGGAAAAAAACACGGACTTGACAACCCTGCATCCAACGAGCTGCAGGAGTCAGATTAGACTGATCATGGGTCGACAGTAAGGAGAGATGACTGACAAGAGAGCATGCTGGAGGATTTGCTGCTCAACAGATCCTGAGCTCACTGACAAATATCTGATATTGTAACTAAGATGTGCTCCCTATACACAGAGTGCACATGATCGCGAAATCGAAAGTGAACAGCGCGAGCACTCATTCAAAAGAGATTTAAATACTCCACTTATTGATATCCCTGATGCGCGAAAATTAAATGCAATATTATGTAATGTTTGAGGGAGCGGAACACATGTTGCGAGAGCGGGCGGTGATTAACCCTCTCGGCCTCTCCGGTCATTTTTGACCCAAAAAAATTTATACTTTGAAATTTTAAAAACCGTGGCTTCATCGGAATGAGATGATACTTGGTGACTTTAGTCACATTAGCTATGTGAACACACAAAAAAAATCATGGACATGATTTGGATATGTTAAAGGGTCCAAAAAAAAAAAAAAAGTCACACTTGACTCCTTCGCGGTCAAAAATGACTGGGAAATACGAAAAAATACGAAAACTCAGAGATTCTTTTGGTGTTACAAACTACAAATCAGCCACTGTGAAGAACAAAAGCGCACAGCAATCAAGGGGTGACTCTCTAAAATATCAGGAGTGCAAAATATACAAATATCTAAACCTTGACAAAAAGTAGTCTTTTAGAATGTCTAAATATATATCTAAAAGTAAAACCTAATAAAATGAAGAAATTGTCTAAAAACCAATGGGAATCCAAAGGTCCCTGTATATATGTATATAGGGAACTATACAGGAGTTTACATGACATTACACAAGTTTTTATTTTTTATGCCACCAGATGGCACAATTCTCACTTCAAAAAATGTATTTAAATTTTTTTCACTCTGTTTTAACATGAAATATTGCATTTATTAAAAAATAATAAATAAATAATTAAATAAATAAAAATATATTAATTCTAATGGAAAAAATAGCTCATTAAAATCCAACAACTTAAAAAAAAAATTTTTTAGCAAGGTGCCGCTGTCGGGGGAGTCAAAAGATACTCATTAACCTGCACTCTGCTGTGAGTGCAGGCAGCATAGGGACAGCATCCATATTTCAACCGGGTGTGCCTCACACATCCTGAAAAGTGAAGCTGCGGGCTCTTTAATTGCCCCCTGGTGGCTGGCTGCAGTACAGGTCATAAACCCCGCCTTCTCCACATAAACGAATGGGACTTGAGTCAAAATAAACAAATAAATTACACTTCCAATGCAATTTTCCGAAAGATGGTTTTGTTCACTTAAGGTAGTTTGAGATGCTTTGGCTTCACTTTTCTATAGTGGAAGGAAGTGGAGACGCGTCGTCCATCTTTTTTTACAGTCTATGATTTCAACCCAGTGGCATGACAACACCGGCCGTCGCGGCCAAAAAAAACCCCAGACCAGCGCACCGGTGCTCCCGATTAGCCAATCCGGGCCTGTATATACGTATATACAGTATCTCACAGAAGTGAGTACACCCCTCACATTTT